AACGCTGCCTGGGACGTTTCACGAGACGAGAGCCATCCGCCTGTCTCCGAGGTCGCCCGCGCTTGCCAGGAAAGCCACCCAGAGGGGTAGCGGATTGCGGCCCTGGACGGCCACACCCCTCTTCAGTCTGAGCGCTGGTCCCCCTCCTCCTCCAACTCCTCCTCCTCCTCCTCCTCCACCTCCTCCTCCTCGTCCTCCTCCTCCTCCTCCTCCTCCTCCTCATCCTGCTCCTCTCCCTCCCCTTCGGCCTCCCCCTCCTCCTCCTCCTCCTCTTCCTCCTCCTCCTCCTCCTCCTCGTCCTCCTCCTCCTCCTCCTCCTCTTCCGCTTCCTCCTCCTCCGCCCTGCGCCTCCACCTCCTCCTTCTCTCTTCCTCCTCCTCCTCTTGTCCTCCTCTTCCGCCTCCTCCTCCCTCTCCCCTCCTCCTCCTCCCTCTCCCCTGCTCCTCCTTTTCCTTCTCCTCCTCCTCATCCTCGTCTTCTTCTTCATCTCCTTCTTCGTCTTCTTCGTCTGCGAAATAATATAAGACTATGTTTCTTATTCTAGGGATTATTCTTTGTATTCGCATTATTAGTCGTATCACTCTTGTTCGAACCAGTATTCGTCTTCTTCTTTTTCTAAATAAGCGTATGGTGTCTTCTTACTCGTACTATTATGATTATGCTTATGCCTCTTCTCCTTCTCCTTCTCCTTCTCCTCCTCCGCCTCCTCCTCCTCCTCCCCCTCCACCTCCTCCTCCTCCTCCCTCCTTCTCCTCCTCGTCCTCTTCCTCCCTCCTTCTTCTTTTTCACATTATCATTCGTGTTATTATTATTAGTATTACTCTGCGTATTCGTATGCTCGGCACTTTTATTACTATTATTATTCGTATTCATACTAATCTGGTTAATGACAATCATATTATTAGTAATATGATTCATCTGTTTATGCGTCTGCTTCTCCTTCTCCTCCTCCTCCTCCTCCTCCTCCTCCTCCACAATTGCACAATATGAATACTACTCTCCTCCATCCCCTGATGGCGTGCGGAAGATAGCGGACACCCCTCCGCGTACTGCTTTTACACACAAGATTTCCCGGAGTTGGGTTTTCGCTTGGGTTTGTTTCAGAATGATGCTCTCGCTGAGGCGCGGGCTTCATTGTCGGGCTTCCGCTCGTTCTGAATCGTGCTCCCGCTGCAGCGCTGGCCTCATTTCCGTGCTTCCGCTCGTTCCGAATCGTGCTCCCGCTGCAGCGCTGGCCTCATTTCCGCGCTTCCGCTCGTTCCGAATCGTGCTCCCGCTGCAGCGCTGGCGTCATTTCCCGTGCAATGCCACGGCATGCAATGCAATGCTAGGTTGCGTTCCGCTGCGCGATGCCATGCCTTCAGCTGCAGCTGTCATATCCAGTGCGTTAGTGCCACGTCATGCTATGCCATGCTACGCTTTGATCTTCAACGCCATGCTATGCAATGTTATGTTCGAGGCCGCTGTGCGATGCCATGCTTTGCGTTGCGAAGCTTTGTGATGCAATTCTTCACTACGCCACGCCACGCCATGCTGTGACACGCTTTGCGGTGCTCTTCTACGCCACGCCATGCCGTGCTCTACAATGCATCGCGTACCCTTTCGCGATCATTGCCCTGCTCAACATCCGACTGTGCGAGCAGAGAGGTGATCTACGCCATGGTAAGGGATGGGAGGGAGGGGTAGGATGTCAGATCTGACGCGAGCGCACCTAGCTTGTCCCCCCTCCCCCTCCCCCTCCCCCTCCCCCTCCCCCTCCCCCCCCCTCCCCCTCCCCTACTCTCCCCTCCCCCTCCCTCCTCCTCCCCTCCTCCTCCTCCTCCTCCTCCTCCTCCTCCCTCTCCTACTCCTCCTCCTCCTCCTCCTCCTCCTCCTCCTCCCTCCCTCCCCTCCCCTCCCCCCTCCTCCTCCTCCTCGTCCTCCTCGTCCTCCTCCTCGTCCTCCTCCTCCTCCTCCTCCTCCTCCTCCTCCTCCTCCTCTCCTCCCCCTCCTCCTCGTCCTCGTCGTCCTCCTCGTCCTCCTCGTCCTCCTCGTCCTCCTCGTACTCTCCTCCCTCTCCTCCTCCTCCTCCTCCTCCTCCTCCTCCTCCTCCTCCTCCTCCTCCTCCTCCTCCTCCTCCCTGCGGCATCGCAGTGCCGCCCACCCTTCCCCGCGCCGCGGTCCTCTTCCCCGCGAGCGCGCATCCCCTACGGCGCGCGGTCCCCGCCCACCACCCACGGGTCGTGCACGGGCGAGCCCGGCTCGGCCTGCCCCGGGCCGCGCGCGCGTGCGCGAGCAGCCGCCGCCGCGCCCTTGGCCGCCGCGCGGTCGCAGAAACGGTCCAGCAAGGTCAAGAAGGCGCACCTCCGTTAGGGATCAGTCAGCATCGGATCGGGTTGCGTCGGCAGGGGATCGACCTCGAATCGGATCGGCTGCGCCAGGCTTGCAGCCCACAGAGGACGTGCGCGCCCGATTACGTACATGAATACGGCCCCCAGTGTGCGAGGCTAGCCTCGTGATAGGAACGTTCGCGCCATGCGTACTTTCGAAACCAATGTGAATTCGTGCACGTGCACGTCCTTCGTTCACTCCTGATCCGTCGGAGGCAAGAATCCAGAGACTCCGGCGCTGTGATTGCTTCAGTCGCGGCGGTTTTCATAGGTTCTGGCCTCCGGCGGCCGCTTTTGGGCCCGTGGGGCATCAGAAACGGATCCAGGAGGCGAAACTGCCCAGGACAAGGGGTCGGGGGGAGCATCGCACACACACTCGCTGGGGAGCCTGGTCGAAAACATGAGCGATCGGAGTCCTTGGGTACTTTTGTTTCGTCGGCGGCGAGGCAGAGGCAGTCCGCACCAGCGTGAGGCGAATCGGGGCAACCGAAAGGCGAATTGTCCATCGTGCAAGAGGAAGGAAAGAAGACGAGGAGTCATTGGATACACGAAATGCTCGCGCCTGTCGGGTCGGACGAAAGAGAAGGTTGCATGCAGCGCTGCGTATACGCTGGGAGCCCATTGCTGTCTGGGCCTCCCGCGCGCACGGTTGTCGTCCCAGATTCGAGGCATTCGTCAGGAGGAGGAGGAGGGAGGAGGAGGAGGAGGAGGAGGAGAGGAGGAGTAGGAGGAAGGGGAGGAGGAGGAGGAGGAGGGAGGAGGAGGAGGAGGAGGAGGAGGAGGAGAAGGAGGAGGAGGAATAGGAGGAGGAGGAGGAGGAGGAGGAGGAGGAGGAGGAGGAGGAGGAGGAGGAGGAGGAGGAGGAGGAGGAGCAGGAGCAGGAGGAGCAGGAGGCGTCTTCCCCGGCGCCTCCCGGCGGAGGGAGGCGCTCCTGCATCGAGGAAGGGCGCCCGACCGCTGGGCCGAGACCAGCTGCACGCAGCAGGCCTCGTGCTCCCCCCCTGCCCAGTGACTCCGGCTCCCTCCGCCCCGAGTGATCCTCGCCGCCTGCTGCTCGGGCGGGCCCTGGCGGCCGATCGGGACGGGCCAGGCGCCCCTCGGAACGCTCTCGGCGAGGCGCAGCTGCTGAAGGGCGGGCAGATCGATCGCGGCTGGAAGGCCGCCGAGAGCCCAGGAACGCGTTCCCAAACCTCGAAGCCTGTGTCCTATTCTCCCCTCCTCCGACCCGACCCTGGGCTGATCCTGTCTCTGTTTAGAATAAGAAAACCAGCATGAACGCAAACTTTCGGAGCTCCGAGCGGATTTCTTGGATCTGCGCTGGACCCCCCTGCGGAGTTGTCTCTATCGAGTCCAGGTCACTCTCGAGTTGCAGGTCCGCTAGTATGACACGCGTCGGCGGATAGAGAGAGCAGATCAACGCAATGGACATGACGAACGGACAACACACACACACACCCATACCCATAGGGGGGTCGTTGGGAGGAGGACTGGCTATGGGTATGGGTGCGGGTTGTCGGACCCTGGGGAACGCTCCCGTTCGAGCGGGGACCCCCATCCGACAACACGCACCCATAGCCCTCTCCGATCCCTCTATGGGTATGGGTGTGTGTTGTTGGTTCGTCAGGACAGGGATGGGCATAGGGGGGGTCAAGTGTCCGATGTGGCGCGAGCGCACTGGAGCGACGAAAAGAAACGGGCCCTGCGCGAGAGGACGTAGCGACCCTACCCGGTGGCTCGCGCGGGCCGCCCGCGCGGAGAAGGCTGCACTGCACGCCAGGGCGCCTGCGCGCGACCCGCTGCAGCTGGGCGGCTCGGGCGCGCACGCACTGGGCAGCGGGGCCCGTCTTTTTTTTGGCGTCGCCCGCCTGGCCTGCCCAATCCGCGCTGGCGCCGATTGTCTGTCGCAGCGAATCACGGCAGGAACCATGAGTGTCCTTGCCTGCCCACGCGTGTTTCAGGATGCATGGCCTTCTTGCTCGCTTGCCTGGCCCGCCCTCTCCCCCCCTTCCGCCGACCCGGCCCTCGGCCGGTCCCGCCCCCTCTGTCTCGAGGCCTCCGAGATGGGGTCGGAGCAGACGGGGTCCCCGGATCGCGCCGCATCGCCGACATCTCGGCGAGGCATCGTCGACGTCGGCGATGCGTCGGCGGCGTCGACGCGAAGCAGATCGTGCTGCACATCGAGCCGCATCGGCGACGCATCGGCGATACGGCGCGATCCTCCGACCCCATCTGCTCCGACCGCATCCAGGATCGGGGAGACGTAAGACTCGGGTACGGGGGACTCGGGTTGGCCCGACGGGGCCATCATAAAGATGACGAGACCCGATCTGAAACTTGACGCGAGCTGCCGCTGCAAATATCCCACGGTAGCTGGACCGTCAAAGTCCAAGACGCGCTCCTCAAAAAACGTCGGCAAACCCGAGTTCTGGCTCACTCGAGTCTTACGCTTCCCCGATAAAGAGGCCTAGCCTGTTGCAGCCGCCCGCACCTCTCGGCGTCGCCCTCGTGCCGCCAGCCGCCCGCCGGCGCCGCCGGCGCGCCCGCGGCGCCGCCGCAGAGGCCCTCGGCGAGGGGCGCGGCCTCGGTGCCCCAGGCCGCCGGCGCCGCGGCGGCCGCCGGCACGGCCAGCGGCCGGGGGGGCTGCGGCGGCGGCGCGGGGCGCCCAGCGGGCGCGGGGTGCCAGGCAGGCGGGAGGGCGCCCGCGGCCGCCAGCACCTCACAGTAGAGGGCAAAATATGCACCCCCATAATAACCACCTCGACAAGCGAGGCCGTTTGGCAAACGCACCCAAAGAAGAAGTCGAACAGGGCAGGGCTGTCAAAAAAACGCCCGGGGCCGTTTAGTAAACGCCATTTATCGGGTCCGGGTGTTTTTTCTTCCCTTGCCATAGGGCGGCGAGGTCTGTGGTTGTCCACCGCCACTGGCCAGGCCCCTCCTGCAGGGCAGCTTTTAATACATGTTTTTTTGTAATAAAAAACTGTTTCTAATACATGATTAATGTATGAATGAATTTATGCATGAACTCATCGTTGTTTCTAGCACTAAATCCCTGCATTTTTCATACATCATCCGCACGCGGAGCATGTATTAAAAACGGCACTGTACGTATATCGGCTACACGCAGGAGCGACCCCGGGTAAGAGTGACCTCTGGCGCGCGGCTTTTTGGGGGCCGCCAGGGGACCAAAGGCACGCAATGCGCTACTATTGCATCGCGTTCGGCGATCGGGGGGCCCCGCTGGGCCCGCACCAGAGGTCACTCCGGCGAAAGATCACTCCTACGTCTAGTCGAGTACAGCCGAAAAACGTCGGATCGTGCTACGTCGACGGGCTCTGGACCGTAGAGCTACGCCGCCCTGGCTTTCGGTCGGGCATGTCCCCCTGCAGGCGGATTTTGGAGGAAAAAGATTAAAACATTCAGACAAATAATCAAATCGCCCCCACACGATGGGCTGATTATTCTCGAAGATTCCTTCTGTAGGGGGACGTGCCCGGCTTAACCCTGGCTTTGCCAGGGAGGCAATCTGCACCGCTCGCGGGCCCAGGATGGGCCTGGCCAGTGGCAGTGTGCCCGGACAGATCTCGTCGCCCCGCACCTGGTCGTTGAGACGAAGCCGAAAATGGGATTGGGACAATATCGGAGCGGGCGGGACAGAGCGGGGATCTCTGTTCGTCAGCGATCCCATGAGAGGGCATGAACGAGCACACAGTCGTGCAGCGCCACCTTATCAGGTGGCAGAACGCGAGGCGGCGATGCACGCCGCCTCGCGGGCCTGAATACGCGCCTGCAGGGCCAGCATCCCAGGTGTGTCGGTAACTCCTGTGGACGCTGGCGGCGTGTTCTGCAGGATGTGTCGGGCGCTGCGGCCGTGCCAGAGCGCTCAGGACCGCGCTGAGAGCGCCCCAGAACGCTCTGGAGGGATGCTCCAAATCCTGGGCCCGCCCGAGTCGTGCCGGGGACTACGGTGACGCGGGTAAGCAGCGGAAAGCTGCTCACGCAGCTGGTTTCCCCGGCGCCTCCCAGTGCCGGAAGCGACCGTGTACTATCGGCGGTGGACAAACCTCCCTTTCATAAACCTCCCCTTAGTGAAAACGGCCCGGGACCGAAACCGACGGACCTGGACCCGCAAAAATGGCGGCCGCGAGGCCCTCCCGCGAACCGAAAACGGCCGATTCCTTAATCGACGTGTCAGGGTGGGAGGTCTATCCCCCCCCGATGACAGTAGCGAGAGGGTGGCGCCCGGCGGCGGGGCCGGAGCCAGATGCATGCCTGCGCAGTCTTCGTACACCTCCTCCCCCCAGTCCCCCCCCTGCCTCCTGTCGTTCCGGACGAAGAGCCGTCGAAGCAAACGTTTCCGCCATCGGCGGCGTCTGTCCCAGGGCGGCCTGTCTTTCTGGACGAAGAGCTGTAGAAGCAAACGCTTCCGCCATCGGCGGCGTCTGTCCCAAGGGCGGCTGGAAAGTGCCTCCCCCTGAGCCTCTCGGGGTGTACACGTTTCAGCCGTCCTGGAGCAAGGGCCCCCGATGGCGGAAACGCTCATCTCATACAGTGATGCCTCCGCCGACCTTCGCCCGCCCCAGACCTGGACCACCACGCTGGCCAGCACCGCGAGCCGCTTCGTGCCCGCACCGAGGCCCAGCGAGGGCCCCCAGAGGCCGAACGCAGCCAGAAGCCTCCTGTCCAGATTTCTTCACGACGATCCTGTCTGGGCCCCGTCCGTCGCCGGCGCTGCCGGCGTCGTCGCCGTCGTCGCCGCCGTTCGCGTCGTCGCCGTCACCGCCCCCGTTCGCGCCGCCGTCGCCGGCCGCCGCCCGCCCTCGCAGGACCGGGGCCCCGTGGGCGGGACGGGGGCCGCAGGTCCCCGTCGCGCGGCGGGCGGGGCGGGCGGGAGAGACGGGGGCCGCGACGACGACGGCGGCGTTTCTCTCATAGGCCGCTGCTGCCAAACACCGCGTGTTCCTGGGAGGCGTGGGCTAGCAGGCTCCCGTCGTCGATCGGTGGGTGATCTGGGGTCGATGTATCCGCCCCCCCAAGCCTCTACCCCCATGGCGTTGATCGGGCATGAAGAGGGGTGCTTGTTGCGTCCCGGCTGGGAAAAAAGCAGCGTGGCCGACTCAGGCTAAGTGCGAGACGAGTTACGCAGCGCGAGCGCAGCGGGATCAAGGAAGGCACCACAGACTAGTAAAAGAAAGAGGCCCGGCAGGGGACATAATCACAATATGCGATTCTCCCCTCTGACGTTCCCAATGGCCCTCCGCTGCCCAGTCTTCCGGCCACAACTTGGGCAAACCTTGCACCCCTGGAGCGCTCTCGACAAAGCGCAGCTGAAACACACACTTTCGCCGGTCCGCGCGGATTTCTTGGATCCGCGCTGGACCCCCCTCCCTGGCTCGCGGAGCGCGCCAGGGGCGGCGCCAGAGGCGCCGCCAGGGGGGCCCAGCGCAAATACAAGACACCCTCGCGGACCTCCGGAAGTTTATGTAAGTGCCTTTTTTTGTTCTCCGATGATGGACACCGCCTCGGGCCTCGAGAACTCCCGAAGAATCCCCGCACCGAGCGCCTGCACCACCACGCTGGCCAGCGCTGCCGGGTCCACGCGGGGGGCGGGCGACGGCGCGGGCGGCACGGGGTCGCCGCCAGGGTCGCTGCCGAGGCCGTGGGGTGGCCAGAGTGTCCGCAGCGGCGCCCGAGGCTGCGGGGCGGGGGGCGCCAGGAGCCGCTCCAGCAGCACGCGCTCGACCCGCTCGGCGAGGGGCGCCCTGCCAGACGAGGCCAGGGCAGAGACAGCATCGGGCGGGGAGCAAGCAGAAAAAGACCCCTGAGAGCCGGCGGTGCGCGGTGCTGGGGCGCCACGGCCTTCCTCGGAGCGCTCCGGGACGCCTCTGGAACGACTTGCCCCTGTCCTGTAGCCCCGCCCGGCCTGCTCCCGGCGGGGTCGCTGGGTCGAGAAGCAAAAAGCGGCACAGGCATGATTCCCCAGAGGTCCACGCGGATTTCTCTGATCGGCTCTGCCGGGCTCCCCCACCCCGGGGCGCCGCCGACGCCGCCACTGGCGCGCTCCGCGCGCCAAGGAGGGGAGAGTCCAACGCCGATCCAAGGCATCCGCGCGGACCTCCGAGAAATTGTACCTCTGCCGCTCTTTGTCCCTCCGGATGGGGAAGGCCCGGTCGACGTAGTCCGTGGCCAGCCGGCCCGCGGCGATCAGCGCTCCCAGGGGGGGCCGCCGCGGCAGCCACGCCTCCAGCGCGTGGGAGGCCCGCCGCACCACGCTGACGCCCTGGACGATGTTCCGTCGGACCAGCTCCGCCCTGGCAGGCCCGAGCTGGATCGAATCGCGCAAGCGGATCGAGTCGGAAACAAGCCGGATCGCCCACGGATCGTCCCGGATCGAATGGAACCTGGATCGCCGCGCCTGGCTCTGGGCGGCACTGGCCGATGCTGGAGAATCGGTCTGAACCGAATTCAACCTCGGGGATCTTCTGACCCGGGTCAATCCAGACTGGGGCCAGTCAGGCCTTGCAGAATCCTGCAAGATCCTGCCAGAACGCGAAGGATCCTGCCAGATCCTGCAAGCACGCTCCTGCACCCAAGCCTCGGTCAGTGCGACCCTGGCCCTGCAGGATCCTGCAAAATCGTGCGCTCTGGCTGACCCCCGCTTGCATGGACCCCCGTCTCGAGGCCCCCGATCGGATCGGAATGGCGGCCCCCGCCGGCGAATCGCATCGCATCGCATGGGAGCGTAGGCGGCCCTGCCTGGTGACCGCCAGGCTGCGCCGCAGCCTGGCGTCGAGGCGCGCGCGGCGCTCCAGGAAGGAGCCCTCCGAGCCCAGCACGCAGAGGGCCTTCGGGGCGTGCGCACAGCGCCCCCCCGCGGTCGCGTGGCCACCCCAGGCTCGGGGGCGCGCGGGCGTGGATCTAGCGATCCAGAGATCCGGCGCGTGGTCGCCAAATCCACGCATCGGAGGAGGCGCCCTCCCCAAAACGCGGCCGGAGCCGCCTCGCTCGGCGGCGGAGATCGGCGCTTTCCCATGGACACGGGGCCCGCCGCGAATCCACGCCCCCGGGAGGACGCGGCCAACGCAGCGGCCGCCCGAGCCGCATCCGACCGCTGGCCATCGCTCGGACGTCCATTCCCTGTGTTTTTGTCGGTTTCGCGCGTGGCTTGTTCGCCAAATGATCGAGGGATGCTCCTCGATGCTCCTCGCCGAAGGAACAATGCGCACGTCCGAGCGATGCCAAGACCGAGCGCGCCAGGCCACGACGCGGCCGCGGCCGACCGAGGCTGGCATAATTAGGCGGCGCATCCGACGTGGCCGACCGCGCAGGGTCGTGAGCCCCGCGCGGGGCCCTCGCGCGGGGCGGCCACGCCGACCGCGAGGCCTTCCCGGGTCGGACGAGGGGGGGGAGCAGGCCAACGTTTTTTCTCGTTCGGCGCCTCGGCATTGGGCGGGAGGGGGGGGGAGGGGAGGGGGGTCTGGCTCGGACCTCTGCCTCGCGCGACTGGATGCAACAGTGTGTCCAGTATGGGGGAGACTGCGCCTAGGGGGGAGCAGGCCAACGTTGTCTCGTTCGGCGTCTCGACACTGGGCGGAAGGGGGGGGAGGGGAGGGGGGTCTGGCTCCGGACCTCTGCTTAGCGCGACTGGATGCAACAGTGTGTCCATTCTGGGGGAGCCTGCACCTGCTTGAGACAGGCGCAGAAAAACAGCCAAGATCCCCTCCATGGGGGGGGGAGGGGGGGGGCAGGGCCCGAGCCGATCGGCAAAACAATATACAAACACGGTCAACAGGGAAAGGGTTCGGCGGGACGCGCGGAGGCGTACAAGTACGATAGGTCCTCCTTGGAGGCGCGCGTCTGGCCCGAACATCTAGTATACCCAGCTTGTAGTAGATCGTTTCCCGAGCAGTGTGACCAGAAAGCGCCCGCCGCGACGCACATACTAAAATGTGTTTCGGTGCGCGCGTCGCCTCTGGGGGGGGGGCGACGCACGCATAGTATCAGAGTGTCAGCATGATCGGGTGACGCCGATTCGAGGTTCGAGGTTTCTGGGCGTTTTCGTCGGCTCTCGGCGGTTTGCCAGCCTCGGGGTGCTCTCCAGCAGCTGCGCCCCGCCGAGAGCGCGCTGGGGGTGCTCGGATCGTCCCGATCGGCCGCGGGGAGGCCCGAGCCGTGACCCGAAACGCAGAGGACGAGGAGCATTCGGAACAGTGAAGGGGGCCCCGGGACACACGAGCAAGTCCACACAAATCCCAGGACCCCCCAAATTTCATCATGTTTGCTGGGTTTTCGTCCCCCCCACCACTTCCAATATTCTCCCAAATATCTTCTTGGGAATCGACGATGAATTGTGCCTGTGTGTTTCTTTGGAGTCCCGAAACGTTGCGGTGACATCTTGTCCTCGCCGCCGCCGCCGCCGCCCCCTCACTCTTGTCCGCCACTGTCGGGGCTACAGTAGGAGCCAGACCACAATGAAGGGGCCAAGGGACACACAAATCCGCCGATCCGGCGTGTGAGTTTGAAAACGTCTCAGCTACAGCCTACAGCCTAGAGCCTGAGCTTCAGCTCTGCTGGGGGGGGGGCCCGGGTGGCTCTGCCAGGGAAGGGGGAGGGGGGGGGGTACGAGTTGTGGTGCGCTTTCTGGGGGGTGCTCTTCCGGGCCGACGAGGGCTCCAAGACGGGCCAAGAGGGCCCCAAGACCCCCCAAGACGGCCCCAGAAGCCCCCGAGACGCCCAAAGAGCGTTCCAAGACTCCGAAGATGAGCTCCAGACGGCCCAAGAGGCCGCCGAGACGCTCCAAGAAGCCTCCAAGAGCCCTCAGAAAAGGACCCTTAGAGGCCCAAACAATAGATTGTACGATGGTTTTGTAAAGATTCTGGCCTTCCCGCTTTTTCGGCTCCCCGACGCTCCAAGACGGCCCCAGGGTCCCCCACGATTGCCCCAAGACGGCCCAAGAGGCTTCCAAAATGGCCCCAAGACGGCCTAGAGCCCCAAGACTGCCCAAGAAACCCCTCAAGACGGCCCCAAAGGCTCTCAAAACGGCTCCAAAAGGGGAACCAGACGGGGAACCCGAGCGGAAATTTCGAGCCCTCGGCCTCCAGAGGCCCCGAAGAGGCCCCAAGAGGCCCCCAAGAGGGCCCCAAGAGGGCCCCAAGAGGTCCCAAGAGACCCCCGAGAGGCCCCTGGCAGGACCCAAGAGGCCTAGAAGAGGCCCCCAAGAGGAGGGTCCCCACAAAGGCCCCCAGGACGCTTCAAAAGTGTACCCATGAGGCCCCCGAGAGACTTACCACGAGATCCCAACGAAAACTGAAGAGCCCTCCGACACCACCCAGGCACGGTGGCGGCATTGGCCGAAGGCCACTACACAAACGTAAACGTCACCATCATCGTCATCATCATCATCATCATCATCATCATCATCATCATCATCATCATCATCATCATCAGCATCATCATCATCATCATCATCATCATCATCATCATCATCACCATCACCATCATCATCATCATCATCATCATCATCACCACCACCACCACCATCATCATCATCAGCATCAGCAGCAGCAGCAGCATCATCATCATCATCAACCTCCTCGTCCTCCTCCTCCTCCTCCTCGTCCTCCTCCTCCTCGTCCTCTTTCCCCCTCGTGTCACAGCCAGTCCCCCGGATCCCCCGTGGCGACGAGGAGGGCCCTCGAGGACAGAGCCTCGCACCTCGATCCTCGAGGATCCAGGGTCGAACCTCGACGTGGGCGCCGCCTCCTTCGAACTCGACAAAATCCGTTCAACGTCTGACATCGGTCCCTGGACCCCCTCCGGGGTCCATCTGGCGCAGCTTTCCGTGCTGGATCGATGTTTCAGAGTCCCAAGCCCCACAACTGCCTCCACAGGCCTACAACGCGCAAACACTTCCTGGAACCTCGAAGTTCAAACATAAACAAAAATGGAATCCGCCGATCCAGCGTGTGAGTTTGAAGGGGGGACAAGTTTTCCGGCGCTTTCCGGGGGCTGGGTTTTCAGAAGACTACAGTCTCGAGGATTCGTCGAAAGAGTGGTCGCGGCCGCAGAGGCCTCTGGAGACGGTCCAAGAGGAGCCCCGAGACCCCCAAAGATCGCCCGAAGACGCCCAAGATGGCCCTCCGACGGCCCAAGAGACCTCCAAGACGTCCCAAGAGGCCTCCAAGAGGCCTCCCACGAGGTCCCCAAGGGGCAAACATCGTTGATTTTCATATGTTTCTTCTACGTTTTTGGGCTGTCGAGTTGTTCGACTTTCCGACGCCCCACCACGGCCCAAGAGGCCCCGGCGACCACTCCAAGACGGCCCGAGAGACTCCCTAGAGGACCGCACGACGGCCCAAGAGCCGCCCAAGACGGCCCACGAGGATCCCAAGACTGGCCCAAGAGGACCCAAAAAACAAGCGAAAAACTACAAAAAACAAGCCTTCCGCCCCAAGAGGCCCCCAGGAGGCCCCAAGAGTTCCCAAAGAGGCCCCCAAGAGCCCCCCAAGACGCCCGCAAAGCGTGAACAGTTCAACCGGTAAAAGAAAAGGAGAAAGGAGAATAAAGAAACCAGCAAAGACAACGGGAAGCGGTTCATGAGACACAAAAGCGTGCACAAAGGCAAAGCAGACCCGTTCACGCTTTCGCATTGCGAAATGAAAGGCGAACAAAACAGAACCAACCCCCCGCCAAAAGGCACCCAGATCTATTTTTCCATATTTTCTGGGCTTTCGTCTTCCCCCCCGCTTCCCATATTTTCCCATATTTTCCGGGGATCGACGATTAATTGTGTCTGTGTGTTTTTTCCCTCCTGACACAAGAAACCGTCCACAAGACACCCAACCCCGAGACCCGGGGACGCCCACTGCACTGCAAGATCATCGAAAACCCAGAAACCCCCAGGGCACCCTGGAGGCAGGCAGGGTGCTTCCTGGCATGGGTCTCCACTGTGTGGTGATGGGGGCCCACCCGTCACTGAACCGACCTTGCAGACGTGCTGCGGCGGATTTTTGCGTGGACTTCTGTGAATGCAAAACCCCGAAACGGCGAGTGAAAAACGAAGTGAATTCCACGTGGTTTTTTGTGGTCTTCACTCCTGGCCCAGCAAAAATCCGCACGAACTCCACCTTGCAATCCGGAGCGAACTTCTCCAGGACAATCCGGGCCCATCCCAGTGTTCTCCGGACGAGATCCGCTCTGCGATGTTGGCGCCATGATCGGGGATCTTCTGACCCGGGCCAGTCCAGACCCAGGTCGGCCAGGCCCTGCAGGATCCTGCAGGATCCTGCGCCCAAACCCGGGCCAACGCGAAGGATCCTGCGGGATCCTGGAGGATCCCGCACCGGAGCCTGGGTCAGTGCGACCCTGGCCCCGCAGGAGCCTGCAAGACTGGAGGGGCCCTGGGACACACAAATAAATACACACAAATAAAAATATTCCCCATAGTTTCCTATATTTTCTGGGTTTTTGTCTTCCCCCCCACTTCCCATATTTTCCCATATTTTCCGGGGAATCGAGGATTAATTGTGTCTGTGTGTTTCTTTCCCTCCTGAAAGACTCCCGTTCGCGTGGGCCCCCGTCCCATTGAGCCCCGCCGTGACGCCCGGCTGGCCCCTCCGGAGGCACGCCATGCCGTTCTCGAGGAGGGTGCCCCGCGGCGGAGCGCCCAGGCCGGCGGCGCGCAGCCGCGTGCTCCCACGCCCCCGTGTGCCCCACCGCCGGGGTGAGGTCGGGCATATGTCCTCCTCCCGGCGGATTTTGGCCAGAAAATGAGGAATGATCAACACATGCCCAAAGAGAATCAAAGAATGCTAGAAAATCGTCCCCGTACTATCTTTTACTATCCAGTACTATTCCTCCCGCAGAGGGACATGCCCGACTTACTGCTGGGGGAGCCCTCCTACCGGCGGATTTTGGCCGGAAAAGGAAAAAGAATCAACAAATGCCCAAAGAGATTCAAAAAATGCTAGATACAATTTCTTACTTTTCTTTAATTTTCCTCCTGAAGAGGGACATGCCCGACTTACTACTGGGGGAGCCTCGGCCCGGGAGTCCGCCATGCCTCGCCGCCACATCAGCGACATGCCCCCGGTGACGAACCTGCACGCTCCGCAGGCGGGGGGGCTATCGGGCCCCCGTCGGCGACTAGTGGTCGACTCGCCCCCCCCCCCCCCCCAACCCGCAGAAGAAGGACGCGGGGTAAGGATGCGAGGGCCTTGGAAGGCCATGTCGACACTCTGCGAGCGGGGCGCGGCCAGCGAAAGCGGCCAAGGATGGGCCGAAGGGGCAAGGACGCAGGGCTCACCCTGGGCAGCTGCTCCTCCCTGCCGTGCAGGCTGACTCTGCGAGGCCATCCCCGCTCTGACCCTGCCCCTGATTCTTCCCCCTCCCCGCCCCCCTCGTCCGCCCCCTCGGTCCCCCCCCCCCCCCTCGTCCCCGACCACTCGTCCCCCCCTCGTCCC